GAATGTGAATTCAACTACAAACATTGTAAGCATGATGTGAGTTAATTGGTACGAGGTATACACTATCACCTGACTACCACTGGTACATACATGTGTAGCTGTGTCTTTGTCCAAATGACTTAGGGTGCGTTTATCGTGTCTTGCCACTAGATATGTACATATTATCGAACCCCACTATACAAAATAAAAAATACGATTTGCGGGATATCGCATTTATCGTCTCTTCACGATTCAAAATAAGGGTCTTGTCTTTGCACAGCTGCTTTGCACCGTTTGACCCGGGAAGCAGACAGTTTCTCTGAGGTCAACTAGATGGACGAGTAGCTTGTACAACAACATGACCACTGAGGTCAGTGAACATGACACAACACATGGCACGCTATCTCTGAACCGGAAATTAGTCTGCATGGGAAAGTCCGATTTGTAAGTGGGGTTCAAAACAGCTTTGCGTTTATGTCTCAGAAACGTGATTCTGGCTGTATGTCACATTCAAAACGCATTTATCACCTTAAAAATTTGCCTGAAAGACGTTTGAGAAACCCAATTCTAGGCAAAAAATTGGTCAATAAACGCACCCTTAGACAGTCCCAATCCAAAACTCAGATGCATCTTCCACCTGGTGACTTAAGAAGTTGGTTACCTAGCTATGATAATAATAATAATTGGATATTTCTATAGTGCACATATCCATTTACGTGCTCGAGGTGCACCAAGAATTTCCCGGCTCTGTTAATCTAACAATTTCAGTGCTCACAGCATCCAAGGAATAATTTCTTCCAAGTGGTACCAATTTCGTACCTGGGTGTTGAGTGGCAAATGTAGATTAATGTCTTACCAAAGAACAGTGCCATGAAAAGACTCGAACTGCAAACCATGTGATCTACAGTCCAGCAACGTATCCATAATTAGACCAATACACCTCTACAAATGTATGTAGATCAACACTATTAGATTGATGCGCATCTGTAAAAAACACACACATACATACATGTACACCCAACCCCATATATTTCTCTTTGGAAATCTCAATGAACTACAAGAAATCTTATCAATGGCCATTACTTCTAGAGATTCATGTATTTGACGGGAAATGCAAAGGTAATGACTTTAAGCTCCCGCGTGGTTTTTACATCCTTTTAGGTAAATTTGCCACTCTTGACCCAGGTGTAGTACATGTAATAAGGTACATGGTAAGAAGGTGCATTCACTGAATGTTGTAAATGCTAAAAATGGTAGCTAACATGCAACACACAAGTATCTACAGCCTGGGTAATTCAAGAAGGCTACATACACAGGAGACACATTGGAGGCAGATATGGTAGCTAATTCTCATCTCAAGACTAAGACCAAGAAATAAGTGTACCTTTACATGTACAGGACACTATCACAGTTCTTTGGTAAAACCAATCACAACTTGCAGTTTCTTTGCGTTGGGGTTTTTCTGAAGACAGTAAAAATAAGTAGGAAGTCATGTTTCTATGCCAAATTGTGCATACATGTATACACATTATGTTTTCTAGAAATATCTCTTTGCTCATTCAAATAACCTTTCTCTATATGTACCGGTACATGTACAATTGTACATACTGAACAAACATGAGCTAAAATGTTCATTAAAGCTAATTGCACAGCTGGTACACAACTGGCATTAGATTACTGTACCGGTAACTACAATTCCAGCGATAACAAGGGATTACTGAATAAGGATTAGAGATACACTAACTGATAGCTACTTATGGTGATACATTGCTTAGGATTCATTCAAGCATAAAACGTAAACAAGTGGAAGAAATGAAGTTTTTGTACAATGGGCAAAATCTGAAGGGATAGATTTTTCTGCACGAGTAAAAAAAAAAAGGGTACTATTTTCCAATTGAAAGACACGCGGTATAAACCCCAAAGCCATTGTGCAATGGTAGTCTGGTGAGGGAAGAAGTGATTTTGGATGCATTTTTAGGTTTTGTTTGACTGCCTCTTCATACAGGGGTATGGGTGCCATTCAATGCTAGGTGATATTAATATCATATTTTATATTATCACCTAGCCCTCAAGGCTACAACATCGTCGATTCAGTCCTATTATTTTTGTCTTTTTTACATTAAAAGTATGCTACCTATTCTAGCATGAAAATTTACATCATTATTGTAAATGTTTTTTTGCGTACGAAAGGCAAAGAATTTAAAAAAATAAAATGAATAATTGTACAAGCCTTGACTGGCAAATACATATTTCCGAGAATTTGCCACAGCGAATCCAAAGTCCGCACTGCATGAGCGTGCATTGCTGCAAAGCTTTTCTGAGCGAGCTACCTGGGCGTCCAAAGCGCAGACATAACCCCCTTTGGTCACATGGATTCGTGACCTCCTGTTTCACTTCCTTTGTGAGCAGAAAAGTCTGCCCCCTGCATTAACTGCTGTTTGTTCTCAAGCATGCACTGAACGCTGCACACCGCGCGAAGGCCCATTAGCTTACTAACTTGCTAGCTGTGCTAGCAACACCACCCCATGCTTGCAAACAGCGAATTTCTGTGCAACCCATTTTTTATATCAGCAGTTCGGATCGATTTAGGATGGGCTAGAATATGAAATACAAATTAGAAAAAATGAAGAACTAAAGAGTTTTAAGGTGGATGAATGTCTGTGGTGTGCAATACTGCAATTTCTTATATATTTCACTATTTTTATCGGAGCATAGATTTCCAAAAAGTGAAATCCAGGAACCGATGGCGACAGTCGGGATTCGGTGTGAACGGTTGTACCGACTCGGGCTTAACATGTTTTGATTTATAGTCTAGACCAGCGTTTTATTACTAGGATGCCAGGGCACCTGGGGTGCAGGAAAACATCTCTAGAGGTGCAGTGGGAGAAATTTAGTTGCATAAAACAATTATTTTGGAATAATAATCATGCAATACCATACATTAGAAACCGCCTGAGTAGATGAGGGAAAGTCATGGTCAGTAGCCCGTCGTAAGAAGGAAAGTGCTGACTTTAATAAATGATGATGTACACTGGTCCGAGAATAAGGATCGTCGGCACAAATGAAGATTGTCTTCGTAAACATGGACAGAAGTGTCCGCAAAAATAAGGATCTTCCACATTTACGCTGTCGATTCTGATTCACGAGTTGGCAATGCAAAAAACGGGTTTCGCAATGATTTTCTTGATGCATTTTACATGACGTTACATTACGGTGAGCTGGGGTTATTTTATTATGCGGGATCCGTTTTTCACATTGCCAGCGCGCGGATTGGGAACCCGCAACCTGCAGAGTGCCGAGGAAAAAATATGAATGCAATTCCTATGATACAGCACATTTTACAGAAGCAGCACACTTTACGGAAGTGCCGTCAACACATGTCAGAGGTCAACACCAATTTTTACACCATTGTAATGTATCACAGATCGTAAAGTCACACGCTCCTGTAGAAAGTAACTAAGCCAAGCTATATTGCTCTGTTAAGATATTTGCTAATATTTCGTTATTTTTATCTCTGATTTTTAATTGCCGTAGGTCATTAGGAGTAGGAGCGGCATAGCAAACGTTAAGGTAGACAGCAATAACCATCTGATTTGGGTCATTTCTTTAATAAAACTGACATTTGTTGTCATTCCCCAATACAGATGGCAACCCAGAGATCTCGTACCGTGGGGGTAGCTATAGCCAACAATGGCAGCTTTTTGTGTCAAAACATTTTCTCCCCGATTTTCTTTATTTAGATCTAATTTTCTGATTTCTAAATCAGATGTAAATTAGGTCGGTATGTCATTTGTCCTAATTACAGTTATCAAAATTTGATAACTTAATATTAAATATATAATTTACGGACTTACTTATATGAATTATCCAATTTGTATCTCAGATCCGCGAAGCAGTACGTTCATGCATTCGAAATATTACCCGGCGGCCGATATATTTCCGGGTCCACCTACCAAAACATAGCCAAATGGCCAATCAGAGCACTCGTTTCGTGGGAGTTCGTTGGTCAAGCTGGGCCGACTCGTACGTAGCTACGGTAGCTATTGGACGTTCGAAAAGAAAAAATGAATATTCATCAACTAAAACCAAGACGGATAATGTTGACGACGAGACTTTCTCGGATTAATCATTAAATTAGGATCTAAATGAGCAAGCTATCGTAAGTCAAATAAGCTATATATATGTTATTTTTAATTTGTGTTGTAATTGCAGCAGTTATGAGGATGTAAAGAGTGAAAATCTCGTTGCATATCTCATTCATCGCGGTCCGGTCGAACCGAACCATTTGTTCCGTACAGTGCCTCACAGAAAGAGGTCCCCAGACTTCAGTCTCTATAATCGGAGGTCTAGTGGAGCCAGACGTAGTCTCAGTGGAACAACCGACGATTAGAGAGACTGAAGTTTTCGGTCTAACGTTAAGGCCACTGACTAATATTCGTTGGGTGCGGGAAAGGGCAATTTCGGACGCATTATAGGGTTTGTTTACCTGCCTCTCTGCGCACGTCTATAAGAGCCAGTTAAGGCTTGGTGATATCAATATCATAAAAACATTATCACCAAGCCCTTAGGGCTACGCCCCTACTGAATATATATTTTATATTGTATTTCACATTCCTCTTCTAATTTTAATATTAAGTGGTAAAAACTAGTTTGGCATTTAGGTCTAGATCTAGATCTAGATCTAATAATAACATGAATTATTTAATAAATGTCAGTTTGATTTATCATTCTACATGCACATGCAAAGAATACAGCTGTGACTACTAATCACCGAATTCTTCACCACACTCGCAACATGCAATGTACAAGTTCTTTTCTGGTCGATGGCCTAAAGAAGGCTTTATTTGGTGTTCACAACACAATACGTGTACACACATTCAACTCAACAGAATCCAAATGAGAAGACCTCTCTGCACTGCACTGCCTACGTTGCTGGTGCGAGTAGTAAGTAACGATAGTCAGATAACATCTTCTAAAAAATGGACGAAAAATAATATTATCACTTATATTCAAAAGGATACAACTTTATTATGTCTGCATCTATTCTTTTCTTATTAGGTGGTGGCGAAGACATCTTGGAAAAGGCCAATTCTGGGTTGTTATTTTTAATGAAAACACAGCTGATTTCCACAACTGGCCGCCCACAGCAACTCGCAGAAAACCGAACTTTGCCGAACGAACCAAAACAATGACAGAAGTGGTCCCTTCCATTTGGAATAGGGGTGAACAAGTCCGGTAATTAATTGATCAGTAGATCATGTAGCTCAAATATGTTGTTTATACTTAAAAGAGTTGTCTTTAAAAATATGAATAAATACAAAAATCACACATATACAAGTTCTAAGTATATTCATCAAGGAAAAATAATTATTATCACTTTGTTTTAAATATTGACTTCGCTTGTTTGTTATCCCTCTGATATCATATCCTTTTCTAGAAATGATGTAAGCACATGAGCTTCATGACCAGGTGAAAAGGTCACGAACGCAGGGTTGAGGATATTGCATAATATGCAAATTAGGTAAACAACCTATCAACGGGGAAGGATCAGCTGTTACGGACATCCTTTGATTATTATTTTTGATAAGCTTTATTGAATTGTAATCTGATCATACCTTTTGTCTTCTCACAGGTATCGAGGTTTTGACAAAACAATATATATCTTGGCCTTCCAATAACAACATACCTTCTCTCATCATGCAGCACAACTTTGAAAGTTTTATAATGCACGGTTAGCTTAGGTGCATGCATACACAGTTTTGACTGGCCTTTATTAATTATCAAAGTGTATTGCCAAGGGAAGAGGCATAAACTAAAAGACAAGCAAAATATTTGCTTCAATTTGATTTATTAATATCTTACAGCAAGAGGAAGCAATATTTTGTTAGTTATTTCATGCACTGTATATTAAGCAATTAGCTTCCCCTCCTAATAAATACATGAGGCAGGTGCAATATAAGCCATTTTATTTTTACTAATCATAGCAGATGCACCTTTCATTTCATTCGATATTATGTAATAATTTTCATCACATTAATTCATTCATGTATCACACAACTTTCATGCTAATGCTGTAATGATTGTGAAACCACTGTTATTTATTTGTTCATATTTTTGTCTTTACTGGAGATACAAGTTGGTAAAGGTTCCAATTAAAAAAAATATAAAGAAATGAAAAATTATTTTCCTTGGAATTTGTTATATATTTCATGTTATGCAAGATAAAAACTGTAGTGTGTGATCTCTTTCTAAGATATTCACTGTATTTATAGAGTAAATAGGTCTTCAGTTTTCAATGGTTCTTCTGAGTCTTTATGGCATTCATTTTCAAAGAATCACTAAATGGAATCATGTCATATCTCAACTTTCAAATTCGTTTATAGTCATATGGTATATAATCTTTCAAATATGTAATTTAACCGATTTGCTATTGAATGGTTATCACAAATTGCCATCAACAGGGCCTTCATGTGCAGCCAAAATGCAAAATGCAATCATCATCATACATCATGCTATGTACATTTCATGCAACTTATGTAATAATGGTTCTAGTATTATATTTGTGCTGAATGTTCAGAGTTGAGGAGATTTATATTGTTTGTAAATTGTAGCATTTTAAAAAATATTTTTTTGTTTAAAGATAAACTCCAGTTCTGATAAAAAAAAAGAAAATTAATTCTCACAGAATCAAATGAAACTTACACTGAATGTTCAAGATTACAAATAAATGACATGTGTCAAACAATTTTGGAAGAAAATGTATATTGGCTGAGTAATGAGCATAGAAAGACAAGGAAAAATCAAGGTAGTACTAGCCCAGACACTATGTGTGTTGTCCCATATATAGCTTTCTGTGTACAGTGCTTGTTACTTTACCAAGACTCGGTCAAATTTATTATGATTTTGATGACTCCAGAACCTTGCAGTGCACACCAATACTTACATGCTACATGATCAACTGTTTCTGATCCTTTCCACACCTTTTCTTTCACAATGCAATCGCATTACCAGTACTAAAGTTTATCTTTAATCATTTTTTTAATTAACTTTTTCAGTATATTCAATTTTTATTCCATCTTATTTTGTTATCTTCCCCCTTTTATCAGGTACAATATTCTATGTATAGAATTTTTAATTATGTACTGGGAGTAGCATGTGTGGGGGCACATGCCTCCGGGCAACAGCGATGAACTTCACTTTTGCGCACCCTGACCCACTTGCTGCTCCCTTATCTCTTTGTTTGTTAATCCTTATTATGTACTTGTCTCTTGCTATGCTGTATGGTATTTGTGCTTTTTATATGAATAGTCGAACAAATAATAATAATAATAATAATAAAATATGTGGTAGTCTTAGTTGTTTTCTTCAATTAAATCATTGGAAGCCTCTCTGCCTACTCCATATTTGTTTCACGCATTTCATCTGTATCGATCTTATGCTTGTGGAATCTGTACTTAGTGTGTTGGAGGGGGTGGGGGGGGGTGAGAAGGGGGTATAAGGTATTAACAAATATTTTAAGCAGAGGAAAATACTTGCACACAACAATCACATATACACCATTTATACTGTCGCTTTTGTTATGTTTTTAACACTGGGGAATGCATCTTGCTTGCCTTCCTCTCCACTCACTCATCATTTTTTAACTGTAAATGGTGGAGGATAGATGATAGAAATAGGGTATTAAAAAAATATTTCTAGGCTGAGAAATTCTTGAAATATCTTTTGTTAATATGCATTATAGGTGAATATAACTTGCTTAATAAATTACATGGTAGGCCTACCCTTGCTTTATTCATCGTATTCCAGTGTGATGCATTAGAGACATGCAACAATTATGAGGCGTTGCGATAAAGTTGCAATCAATTGTACATCCCCAAAATCAAGCGTACCGGTAAGTCTTGCGATTAATTGAAATTGCAAATTTGCAATTTATTGCAACTCATCTTTCTTGCAACGCTCCATTAGTAAGAGAGAGAGGAAGAGAGACAAAATCCTAGGAAATTTGGGAGACTAGTGGGGTATTGCAAGAAAGTTGAGTTGCAATCGATTGCAAATATCAGTTGCAGATTTTGCAACTTGCAATCAATCGCAACTTTCTTGCAACGCACATTGGTCTCTCCCTTATTAGCACTCGGAAGTGCATGATGCCTGCCAATTCCCTTTTCAAATTCTTACTACACATGAACATTTTGACTACTTGTTTCTACTCAAAGTCACGTGTCTTTCAGTTACATCTTGTTTCCCCAACTCATGTTATCATCTAGATGAAATTTTGTCATTTTTGAAAATTCAATATTTACACGACTAACAAACTTTGTTTTAAATGTATCTCAAGGATGTCTTATCTTTGAGAAGTCACAAATATTACTGTTTCATCAGGCAACACATCAATTTGAAAGATTGGAGAAGGCAAAGCAAAAACAATATAATAAAAAGCAATAGATATTGAAGTATGAGTATCCTTTTAGTTTTATTTTGGTACAGTTTTGGTACACATTTATATACAAAGAAGTTAAGGAAATACATTATTTATCGAAGTTTGGACTGTTGATAAATGTTGTGAAAGTGTAATGAATCTCTTATTTTCAGAGTCCATTTACTACATACTCTGAAATGTTATCTCATATTACATTGTATAAGATTGTGGGACGCATGTACATCATGGCCCTTCAATGAGGCCTCACATCTGTGTTAAAAAATCAAATAATAAATTGACGGCAAGAGACTAGATGCATCAGTCAAAGCCCTTTCCACACTTAAAAAGAAATGAATCAGAATATCTTGTGTTATTTATTGAATTATTTTACCTTTGACATCCTGATGCATGCATACAATGTAGCCAATCAGAAAAACCCGACTCTGAGCGTGTGCATCATTCGGATGAAGCTAAAGTAAACAATGGGCAACATTCCGTCGAAATTTGCTATAAGAACCCTTTTATATGAATTATTCATGTCATCTGTCAACAGAATGAATATTCATGATCTCATAAGTGCAGAACGTCAAGTGGCTGGAGTAAGTCTCTTCACATCAGTCACAGACTTGTTTAAAGGCTAATACAGCCAGTGAATGCTAAAATATAGATATATGATATTACAAAGTACTCCAAGTTTAGAGAAAACTTGAAACTGAAAAAAAGGATAGTAGAATTTTAATTGTATTTCAAATCTTAATTTCTTTTAATTTGGCTATCTTGAACATTTGAAAGGAATTTGCCGAGGTAAAATAACAATTTTTTAAAAAACAGAGACTTTTACAAGATGAAACTTTATGAATTGTTCAAAATCAATGTTGTATCAATTGCAACTCAATAGTCATGCAAGAAACTTTTGCAACTCTGAATTGCCTAAAGTTTCATGCACATACAAGTTTGGGGCTGAACACCATTTTTTACTGTCTGAAACAAACCCTCTTCCATATTGGATAGTGTATTCAGTTCATTTAGTTTCTCACCTTTACATAGGAACAAAATCTATACAAAGGAATGTGAAGAATACTTCATGTTCGGTTGCATGTTATCATATAAGGTGCAAATGGAATGATTACAACAGCATCTCCAATATGCCTCCACCTATTTTCAATTGATCAATGACCCTGTGACCTTCCACATCTGACCTCATTAACCAGAACTACATGTTCTTCCAGTTACTCTCGACATACTCACACATACTTGAGCCAACTTTAGTAATATTGCCTCCAGGTTCCCCAAATTAATGTAGTAAACAATGAATTTTCTCTTGATCTTGAACTCTTTTACGAAGCTGTGATTTTTTCCATTTTGACCTTTAAAACTGCCACTCAATGGTTTTCAAGTTACTATGGCAACACTACTGTATTATTATATATAAAATGAACAGCTGATCAGAGAGTCGGGTGAAAAACTACAGCACTGCAGTTTATACAGAGGGATTAAAAAGATCATTAAGCCTTTTCGATTCTAATAACTAAAAAAGTCACCACTCGTGTCAGATTGAAGTTTTATTTCATATCCTCTTTTCAACAATTCAAGACAACAAATTTTTAGTATCACTAACTATGGCTATGCAAATTGCATACTATTGATGCAAACAATGGCTGCAATGAAGAAAGTGTGAATACATGTTACCCATAGTGCATAAAATGTTGTCACTTTTGCACAACAGAACAATAAATCATAAATAACCTCATAGCATTTCAGCTGATGGAATAATCCCTATTGAATACCCTTTTTCGTATTAGCTTCTTTCATGCAACATGTTATAGCCTTGTTGGTAGTGAACTGCAGAGGGCTTTACATATTGCAGGTTTGGTACCTATTTGCTTAATTTTTTTCATTCAGTCAAAGCTCCCATTCAAATCATTATATCTTTCAGCTCTGTTTAAATGACAAACAACTTACATCAGTAATTCAACCGTTCCTACAATTGTATTTGAAACACACATTTCCACACATATACAATATCGTATGTAAACATTGTTGTTGTGAAATACTTAGAAAACTTTAATATTCATGGTAATTTGGAATATCACCGTGTGATTCAGGAGGTTGGGTTTCACTACGATATTAAAATGAATCGACTTTAATTACCGGTACCATGATCTCAAATCAAATTCGCCTTGTAAAACACATATCAAACGAGTATGCACTTACAGCTGCAATTTTCGGAAAACAAATAAATATTTTGGTATTGCAGATCAATCCTTGATCATGACCTGCTATGAACTGGAATACCAACAACAAAAACATGTCAATATCTTGCATACATGTGTCTTAGAGCCATCATGAAAATGGAATTATTTAGGAACAGGTGTATAATCACACTGTATTTTTCAAATCCATTTTCTAATCATTCCACATAGTGGTGGTTATTTTACCCGACTGGTAAGAAAGCATAAGTGCTCGTTAATACGCAACCAGAGGACCGACGACGGCTTTAGGTCCTCTCCGAGGGGGGACTGGTCCACTTAATGATCAATTACCAGCAATTGTGGAGCTCCAGGAATGTCAAGTCTAACAGACATAAGCACTATGCAAGAACCAACTATTACTATTATAATTTCTTCAGCCCATACAGATGAATCAGAATAGAACAAAATTTTACGTCTCAAAACATATAGAAGGCATGAACATAATATGGAAAGGAAAGGAACGTTTGCAAGGCACTTCTCTTCATCTAAAACTGGATGAAATAGTCAGTTTCACAGCAGCAAATTACATTAATATCTCTTATCAGCATACCAGTTTAATAATCAATCTACTTGACTTACTGCATTTTCGAAATGACAAAACCTCCAAGGACTTGAAAGTTTGTACACTCTAATCTCAGCTTACTGAAGGCAACATGTAAGAATTCAGTTGATATAAAAACAGTCTTTTGAAAATAAGTGATTAAAAAAAAAACACTCCTTGCATCCCTTTTAAGAAAACCAATGTGACTTCATAAATCTTGTTTCCAACCAGCATGCATGATTCTCAAAAGTACTTTTATGAACTATGCCCATGTACAATCCATCCACTTCAAGAGGTTAAAATGACTGAAATAAAAAGTCAGTAAACATCTACATCAGTGCAATCAAGTCTTCTGAGCAGCACTTCGACTCTGCCAGAAATTTGTTATTCTCCTCACTGCTTTCCATGCTTGGCTGGGTGGTGTCTGAAAAAGCAAAAATTGAAAATGATACAAAAATTACTCATTGACAATAATGGCAGCCACAAACTAATCAACTAGTGTAGCCTCTAAATGTTGAAAAGGGGGAAGGAACACTCCCTAACATTTGGCAGTCACAAAATAATGAAATATAGGAGCTTTCAAATTCAGCTCTGCTTTCGAATCATCTGTATAGAATGCTGAACTTTCAATTTTTTTCACAACATAAATTAATGGTTTATAGCTTTCCTAAATGGTTTTATTCAATTAATTTGGAAAGAAACACAGACATGACAAATCTTGATATCTGGCAACAGCCTGAAAACTGTTACCCCTGTTGAAAGATTATATGAAAGATATTTGTTGAAGGCACAACTTCTACAAACATGAATAGGTCAAAGAACCTTTGTCGAGTCCAGTATCTGAACTTTCAGGTGTTTAAATAGTTGTTAGGTGTTAGGTGTAAGGTGTTAAGTGTTATAGGGTAAAATTTTTTATTATGTCATAAGAGACCAGCACCACATAAGACTTTATTATTCTTTATTGCCGGTTTCCTCATTCGTATATTTAATTGTATTTTGTATTTATCTTTTGTTATGTTATTTGTATGTTCTTTAATCATCTGTAAATATCAATGTTATAATTATATATGTTTTTATATGACAAATGGAATAAAATGAAATGAAATGAAAAATGAACTTACCACTTGTTTGTTGGTTAGAGGCCCTTGTTTGTTAGGACTTGATCTTTCATGTAACAAGACCTGAAGCCCATGCCATGCTGGTCTGACGGGTGTGTTATTGTCTTGGTTCTTATCTTGCGGTAATGACCGGACTGTGTATGTGACAGATGCTGGCTTGGTCCATGGACACCAACTCCTGTGCTCTTCTATAGGATTGAAAAGTCCCTTGTCAACCTGAGATATGAGAAATAAATAAAAGATATTTTGAGTTATATCCACAAAAAGGCTGGGTTATTTGATCATCTCACAGGAGGAGGGCATTAAACACTATAAAGTCTATACATATTTATAGAATTTTAATATGGAAAGCCCAGTGGAACCTCAGTATAGAGAGCTCTGATATGATGAGATATCATAACAAGGTGATTATGCTAGTCCCAGCTCTTTATATTATTTTGGGTTTTTGTACCATGAAATAACAAGATTCCTGATATTATATATCCACTGCTATGAGAGATCTGGCCGCTTCTATAAGCCCAAAGGGACAACCCAGGCGCGCCAAGGAGTCATGGCAGGATGCAACGTCCCCAAGAGCCAGTATAGAAAACAGCCAGACCTCCAAAATTAAAGAAGTCAATATGTCTTTTATATACCAATTTGACCAAAAAAAAAACTACCAGGAATTTTAACTTTATCCTTTTCTTGAGTAAAGATTGATTAAAAACATCACAAAATATCTGAGACACTGTCTGTTAATCTTCGCTGGAAAGATGACTGAATGTTACAATTATTTGGGAATCGCAGACAAAAAGCACAATTTATTTATGCGGCCTGTTACCTGGGGTAACGGGCATCTTTAAAAAGACTATTGACCGGTAGGCTGGCTTGCGAACATCTTTTAAAAACTATTGAACATTAGGCGGGCGTGGCTTAAATCACCACACTAATTTCGACCAATCAGATGGCTATATTTCTAAAGAAAGTTTCCACTGTATCTTGAAGTGATAATGGAATTATTACTCATTGATTACTCACACATTCCTGTACCACTGTAGTATGTACAGCACATGATGGAATAATCCGTCTTTTGGCTACGACAGAATGATAAATTTTTGCATCAAAATATGTGTGCGACTAAAGGCTGTACATTAACAAAATCTTGTGGTAGCAATTTTTCAAATGAATATAACAAATGAGGCAGATTCTAACCCAATGCCCCCTCCCTCCCCCACCACTGGTCTTTTTAGGTAAAATTCGCCTGAAAGAGTTGTAGCTCAAATATACTGATCTCTCACAAAACAGGACCCTAGAAATGAGAGTCTCACAGATGTAAAATAAACTTCACTGACAGCGAGAACAATAGACATGAAATTGCATGATTTAGCATATCAAACACTTTTTTCAATTACTATTTCCTATAATTCCTTGCATCTATTGCATGCGTCTCGTTATGCCTGCAGAATGATCAAGTTTTAATGAAACTAAAAACCTCTTCAAAATTGAAACCCATGCCAGCCTTTGTAACACCTACCTTTAGTCTTTTTGCTGTGGGTTCCGATTCGTCTTCATTCGTTGTCTTTGCATTCTGTTCAAAAGGTGTAAAGTTCCAGAGACCAACATTCCGCCTACAGAACTCACATGACATTGTTGGGCTTTGGGAGACTTCAGGAGAACTAAAGTGGATCAATATCAGATAAGCAAATTATGACTGGGTACCTGGTAGTTTTAATTTTGACAGGCATCAATGTAAATATACTTGGTTCCAGAAACATTAGGCATACGATTATTATAGTCTTACTTGATTTCACATTTCCATCTGTATATGAAGTAAATAAAACAAAGCAACAATTATTTTCTTAGATTAAATTTTCAACATTATGACCACTAAATCAACATATTAGGTTGTCATTTTTTTTTCTTTTTTTCTATGTGCTCTTAAGTACTAACCTCCTGGACCAGCCACTCAGAGCCATGAAACAGACCAACTCTATCCTTTCTTTGTAGTCGGAGGTTGGCTCTTCTCCTAAAACTCCTGTCACAAGCCTAGATAACACATCTTCATTCTCCTGAACCTTGAAATTAAAAAAAAAAAAAATCAATATCACAAAACGAGTGGTAAAAAGGTCTCCCGCTTTTTCTACTGGTGGTTTATCTTTTGGTCAGTCACCTAACAAAGAAAGATGAAAGCTAAAGAAGTCATTAAATTGACTAAATTGACCTAAACTCATAGACAAAGGTAATACAAATTGTTGGTACAGGTCATATATCCGGTGAAATGTCTAGATAACCTAAGACCAAATCGATAGCACTTTTGTCTTCAATTATATTTGGAAGCTATAAGAAGACAAATAGGAAGTCGACACAAGCTGTCTGTCAAGAAAAATCAAGTTTTCCACTTCATAAACATCGTTCTCCATTGGTAACCTTTGGAAAGTTGTTGTTACTTTGAGATTCAACATGAAAGAATCTTATCTGTAATTGTACATTAAGACATTGATTGAATCAGTTTTAATTAAAAAAAGAAAATAATTGGAGATGGATAAATCTAGACATATCCTATAAAAACAAAACCCCACATGTGCGATTAATTAAATATGCAGGCTCTCGTGGCTCAATTTTAGTGGTTGTTATTAAGCTTCGTACATCTATTAAACAACAACAACATGACATGAGAGAGAAAGAGAGAAAGAGAGAGAGAGAGAGAGGGGGGCGGGGGAGGGGTGAGGGTGAGAGGGAGGGGGGAGGGGCTTTGGCTTTAATAATCAAGGTGGATTAGTTTAAAATGCAATAGTTTATCTTTCTAAATAGCTTTGCTAAATAAAGATAATTAAGGAGTCGAGAATATTTTGTCTCTCTAGTCAACAAACCTGTTGAAGACATGACAAGTCAACAGCTGGAATAGAGGTTCCAAAACATCTGATAGATGCCACTCTGTGAAGAAAGTCATCCACTGCTTTCTGGGTGTTCACTAGATTCACTTCAAGAAATGATGCTGAAACATTGAAACAAAAAGTAAAATCAATACACACAGTCAGAAACCAAATGATTTATAGGATGGTGATGAATTGGTGATTCATGACTAATCAGGATTGTGATTAAAATAGTGATTATTACATTTATGTTCAAAATTCAAAAAGAATCATCACTGATTCCTAATAATTTAAAGGCACTATTTAACCTGTATACTGCAGAATTCCCTCATTCCCATTAGCTTACTACAGGGACCAAACGGTTCAATAGGAAATGGGTTAACACGTTAACATGTCAAAGTAGTTGCATGGTTTGTTAATTTGATCTGGAATATAACGGACACAAATTAAGAAAAACTAACTAAAAATCATTATGGAAAATGATCAATTTTCATTTTCAATATAAAACATAAAACAATTGTTATCAACATAACTAAAGGAATAATTTTAAAGGCATTCCATACTATTGTCACCATCCATATATTCTTACTTCCAATATTTCAAAACACCTCTTGGATTGTATCTTATCATGCCTTTCAAAAACTATGCTATAATAGCTTACTTCACATTCACTTAATAATCAAAAAGCACAAAATGATTTCTTTAAAGAGCATTATTTGAATGACAAGTTTACCTGGTGAGGGGTTGCTTTGCCAAGGACAGATCTTACTGTGACCAGCCTTCAGTGACTCTTCTAATTTCTTGCAGGCTTTCTCATCTGATAAAGGAGAGATATCAGATTTTACAATCTTCTGAAAGTGTTGTACAATCACACCTTAATACATTTTAAGAAAGATTATCTGTCTATTGATAACTTGTAAGCTACACATTGACATGAATAAAACAAAGTAAAATATAACATCATCTCATGAGATCTTCAAAGGCTATTCATTAAAAATGTATAAATAAATAACTATTCCTTCATTGCTTCTGAAATAGAATATAAATTAGTAAATTACAACATTTTGCTACAAACAAGCATAACATAAATCTTGGTATAGATTAATATGAAATTATGACTATATAGACTTACAATACACCAGCTGGAGTAATCTACATGTTCAAAGACACACAAAACAAAATTAATGACCCAGCAGTAACCTTCGAATATAACTTCCAAGTGATAAATCATCTATTTTTTTAATACAATTTACAAACATGCCTACCATGTTACTTGCCAACACAATACTGAAACCAAAATAGGCTGCAAGAATGACATGGCAGGGAATGCAGGTACATGCATGTTTGCAAACAAAGGTCATATTGAACGTACTACGTAGAATAGCATTCATCTTATTTCATGAGCAAGAGTCTCATCGTTAGACATCTTAAAGACAACCGTTGTGTCCAATATTAAATACAAATGATTTTAGAAAATGAAATAATGTGAACTTACATGAGTCTGTTTCCCACTTTGGGGGCAGACCACCATAGAGTATTTCCTTGCAGCTGACACACTTGAGAGAGTCCACATCAATGTTCTCCCAGCCATACTGAGCACAGCGAAGAGGAGATACTTCGTCTGGTTTAGCAAACCATGATGAGATCTACATGACTGTGTCAAGGATAAATGTCTTCAATACAATTTTCTCCCATGCAACATAATCAGGGAAAAAAATACATGTCGAACTCGAGGCGAAATCGCCCCGGAAGTCATAAAAGAGCCCCCCAAATTTTGCATAGAGTTCAATGCAAAAAAAATTAGAGAGTGTTATTTTCATGCAGGCAAGCTTGAATTTCCTTGAAAAGTAGCCCCAAAAATTGTTTAAATATTTCTCCCCTGAACATAATAAATATATAGAGATATCTGAGTCTACCAAGCAACTAAATTGCAGCAGAACAATTACGAATTCATTAATAATCCTACAGGAACACAACCTCTGGAATCAACCAAGTTCAAAGGATGTGAAAGAGTATGATGTCATCAATGGAAGACACTGCACAAATAATAGTGATGCTTGAAAATAGGAGGTAAAAGAACATAACACGTGTTAAGCCTTATTAAGGTTTATAAAATGAATACCATTTGTTGAAAGGATACAGAAAATGTCTCCACTCTGTTGAAGAAAAGTTCTTGATTCAATGGCTGCACAGTGCTACTTTGTTCAGTGGAGATTTCATCAACCACCACAAATCCATCTGCAAATCCATCTGCATCATCGCCTTCAGTGGGTTCACTAATCACTTCCTTGTTCTCACTATTTTTAATAAAATAAAAGTTTAAAGTAAACAAAAAGCATAACAGAATGCCATATTACAGTAGTACACAACATAATACGAATGCTTTCATGACATTGCCCCTTCTTATTTATGTGAACTTTTATCATTATATCGGCCTACTCGTACTTAAAGATCAAGCTCAAAATCATTATTCATTGTCCCTCCCACCTCAACAAAAACATACGGTGAACGTTCTTTTACACATGCCTCCTCAGTTCTATGGAATTCACTTCCAGATTCCATGAGAAATCACAATGATTTATACAAGTTTAAGGTTTCTCTTAAAACGTATTTTTTCAATGTTAAAAGTGTACACCCATGAACTCAACGTCCAACACTACATGTACTTCTTTGCTTCTAAGTGGATTTTCTAATTTGTAAAACTTTTTCTTGTAATTATTTCCTTTCTATTTAAAGCGCATAGGGACATGCTATCCTGTAATGTGTTATGCGCTATAAAAGAACAGAGTATCATTATATCATTATAGTGTAAATTCATGATCTCTGAATTCTGTAAGGCCATCTATATTCAAATGCCAGTTACAATTTGCTCTTTTAAATGTTAACACATCATACATGTACAGTTTTTAATTAGGAGAGTTGGGCTTAAGCTTCCCTTCCATATAATCTTGGGCTTTGAATTGAGGTTTTTTCCTTTCTTTAAGGATTGGAAAGTCAAAGTTGTAAAAGAAATGTTTATAATATACAGTGAAATGTGTATAGGGCACCAGACACTGCAAGCAAAGTCATGAAGGGGTAGAACAAGCAAGAAGTTTTTATAGATCTGGAAAACAATGGTAACTTCAAACGATTTGCTGTAAGGCACTAAGGGTTCTCTCATAAAATGTTCAATATTTTCATTAATTTGGGGGAAGGATTTGAAATACTTAATACTATATACCATAACAGAGGGGGTATTCGGTCACTTAGACAAATCCAATTTTAAGACTATTCCATTATTATTTTCACTTCACACTATCTTCTTGCTCCCTCAATGAGACGACTCCATCCAACAACCCCCCCCCCCCCCCTCTCTATCTCTCTCTTTTACTCCCACCCCTCCTTTCTCATGGCATGCTCTTACTAGATCTAGTCTTACCCTCTCTCTCCTCTTTTTTTCATCCCCACCCCCGTTTCTTTTGTTTAATTTTCTCTTTTTTCCCTGTTCTCTGTTCCTTTTCTTTCGACGGCCGACCGACATCATACATCTCACCGAGTTCAAACTTCTGCACTGATAGTTATTAGTAGGAATAGGAATTAGATCTAGGATCGAGCGTGTGAATACCAACACAGGTCACAGCTGACCCAACACTAGACCGAATTTTCCGTCTCTTTCGTTCGTTAGCCTCTTATTGGGGTAGGGTCGGCTCTCTCTTTAGAGACGGAAGCCGTTTATACACATGTCCTTGCTAACGCCACGGCCAGTTCTGGTCGTAGCGTTTTGCCCCCAAAATCCCCCAAAATGTCATTTTACCTCGAGCATGTTATATTGTAAATTAGGCCTAGGCTATAATAAATCAGTTCCACTTACCAACTTGACTTAAATAATCAGTTTAATAGTCCCTTTTTAGGAAATTATGGGTCAAAATCGGAATCCATGTTGAAAAAGATTTTTCAACATGGATTCCGATTTTGACCCATAATTTCCTAAAAAGGGACTATTAAACTGATTATTTCAGTCAAGTTGGTAAGTGGAACTGATTTATTATAGCCTAGGCCTAATTTACAATATAACATGCTCGAGGTAAAATGACATTTTGGGGGATTTTGGGGGCAAAACGCTACGACCAGAACTGGCCGTGGCGTTAGCAAGGACATGTGTATAAACGGCTTCCGTCTCTAAAGAGAGAGCCGACCCTACCCCAATAAGAGGCTAACGAACGAAAGAGATGGAAAATTCGGTCTAACCCAACACATATCGTATCTTTCTTGCTCTAGCGACGACCCTGGTTAGTCCCGAATCTGGCCGATTTAATCTCCACCGTACCGTACCGTACCATACCAACGCAAATATTCTTAAATTTAAACATCAATATGCAGCGCTTTACGCGCTAGGATGGCTAGGTTAGGTTTAAAAATATCGCCGTCCAGTCAGCGCTATAGACCTACAGCTCAGCCTTTCTCCCACTGCCAGCTACGGGGCGGGCCTCTACGACTACGCCTACGGGTCGGCGAAGCTCGAGTAGCTCTCTGACGGGTCATCCGCGAACATTCAGCAACATATCGGATCAGGCGTAAATTTTGTCATGATTCACATAGAAAAATCAAACTCATTTTACACTTTATGGACATTTACATATTGACCAACCTTTGTTTTTTTTCTTCACGAGAAACCCCCTTCAGAAATGAAGATAATAAAGCTTTAATCCGACGAGGTTTGCTTACTTCACAGTTGGGGACAGCCATCATTGCATTCCTACATGTATTTCGAAGTTCGCGAATTATATTTAGTGATCAACCTATCTACCTTACGCCGGCTCTAATTGGTCAATAATTTAGCTGAACGCAAGGCTTAGCCAATCATTATGTTCGTTTATACTGTAACTATTGATAAGGAGCGATTCAATCAAGAAAGTGCAAGGCAGGGGAGACTACGGGGAATCGGGACTAGACTATGTTGAACCTGTAAAAATGTCGCATCTGCCTATTTCAGTGAAGAAATGCAATATAGAAAAACCAGCTGATGAATGTAAGTTGCAGCAAAAATTCTTTCACATCTAATCAAGACAGCGCGGCGTTATTTATCATTTATTCGTGTGGGTAGTCCCACCTCCTTACTATTTTGTTGGTTGACACTAATTACAGCGGAGAAGCACTTGTTCAAAAACCTATCCAAAATTTGACCCGTAACTCCGGCGTGGAGATACCCTACTAAAACATACCAAAAACGAAGTAAATATTCATTAAAATGTCCAAATAAAGATCACGAGTTAAAATTCGTTATGTTTGTTACCTGTTTCGTGTCAAATTTCTTGTTATTTTTGGAGTATTTTTCGGATAGGGTCTAGAGGAATCTAGTTCTAATAGGGAGGCCAATGCCCAAATCTAACTTTTTAATTACTAATTTGTTTATACTAAAACTAAGATTAAAAGAAAGCATTTACTTTCACTAAGAAAATCCACCCATCTGCCGACTCCATAGGTTCCATCAAATAGGAGATATCCAGCTGGTTTGTAGCCATTTCCTTCTACGCCTTTCCGTACGTAAGAGCCTTGAAACAATTATATTTCATGTCGCAAAGTTACGTTCATAATTAGACAGGCCCGAGGGACAAAGTTCATGATGAAGTTTAAAACTTCGCGCGAAAGTGCAATCACTCAACAGCGGCTAGCCTTGAATCGGTCGCACACGTACACACCTTCTTCTTCTTAGTTGATCCCTCCACCGACACAGGCAAGCCCCGATGCAGGCTGAAGTCCAGCCATCAATGTGCGAACGATTACATCTTCTACTACTACGAGCCGAAGACGATGGTTCAAAAATGAAGAATAGAAATATATATAACAGGGCTCGAATTACCCACCGGCAATCGGCAATTTGCCGCCATGCCCCTCTCACTGGCCGGAATGCCCTTTTCAAAATCAAACCGTTTACGGCCACAATATTTTAATCCACAAAAGTTTTGCCGACATTATAGTCATCGTAAGCCAACCCGACTTGTAATGTTCAAAAAGGTTTTGTTGCCCATACGGAGCTTTAAAAACAATGATAGTCGGCAAGGTTTTGTTGCCCCTCCGGATCTCTAAAAACAATGAGAGTCGGCAAGGTTTTGTTGCCCCTCCGAGTCTCTAAAAACAATAATTATCGGAAGGTTTTGTTGCCCCTCCGGAGCTCTAAAAACAATAATTATCGGCAAGGTTTAGTTGCCCCTACGGACCTCTAAAAACAATAATAATCGGCAAGGTTTTGTTGCCCCTCTGGAGCTCTAAAAACAATAATTACCGGAAGGTTGTGTTGCCCCTACGGAGTTCTAAAAACAATAATAATCGGAAAGGTTTTGTTGCCCCTCCGGAGCTCTAAAAACAATATTTATCGGAAGGTTTTGTTGCCCCTACGGAGTTCTAAAAACAATAATAATCGGCAAGGTTTTGTTGCCCCTCCGGAGCTCTAAAAACAATAATAGTCGGCAAGGTTTTGTTGCCCCTCCGGAGCTCTAAAAACAATATTTATCGGAAGGTTTTGTTGCCCCTCCGGAGCTCTAAAAACAATAATTACCGGAAGGTTTTGTTGCCCCTCCGAAGCTCTAAAAAAAAATGATAGTCGGCAAGGTTTTGTTGCCCCTCCGAGGCTCTAAAAACAATAATTATCGGAAGGTTTTGTTGCCCCTCCGGAGCTCTAAAAACAATAATTACCGGAAGGTTTTGTAGCCCCTCCGGAGCTCTAAAAACAATGATAGTCGGCAAGGTTTTGTTGCCCCTCCGGAGCTCTAAAAACAATGATAGTCGGCAAGGTTTTGTTGCCCCTCCGAGGCTCTAAAAACAATAATTATCGGAAGGTTTTGTTGCCCCTCCGGAGCTCTATAAACAATAATTACCGGAAGGTTTTGTTGCCCCTCCGGAGCTCTAAAAACAATGATAAGTCGGCAAGGTTTTGTTGCCCCTCCGAGGCTCTAAAAACAATAATTATCGGAAGGTTTTGTTGCCCCTCCGGAGCTCTAAAAACAATAATTACCGGAAGGTTTTGTAGCCCCTCCGGAGCTCTAAAAACAATGATAGTCGGCAAGGTTTAGTTGCCCCTCCGATGCTCTAAAAACAATAATAGTCGGCAAGGTTTTGTTGCCCCTCCGGAGCTCTAAAAACAATATTTATCGGCAAGGTTTTGTTGCCCCTCCGGAGCTCTAAAAACAATAATTACCGGAAGGTTTTGTTGCCCCTCCGGAGCTCTAAAAACAATGATAGTCGGCAAGGTTTTGTTGCCCCTCCGGAGCTCTAAAAACAACAATTACCGGAAGGTTTTGTTGCCCCTCCGGAACTCTAAAAACAATGATAGTCGGCAAGGTTTTGTTGCCCCTCCGAGGCTCTAAAAACAATAATTATCGGAAGGTTTTGTTGCACCTACGGAGTTCTAAAAAACAATAATAATCGGCAAGGTTTTGTTGCCCCTCCGGAGCTCTAAAAACAATAATAGTCGGCAAGGTTTTTTTGCCCCTCCGGAGCTCTAAAAACAATGATAGTCGGCAAGGTTTTGTTGCCCCTCCGAGGCTCTAAAAACAATAATTACCGGAAGGTTTTGTTGCCCCTCCGGAGCTCTAAAAACAATGATAAGTCGGCAAGGTTTTGTTGCCCCTCCGAGGCTCTAAAAACAATAATTATCGGAAGGTTTTGTTGCCCCTCCGGAGCTCTAAAAACAATAATTACCGAAGGTTTTGTTGCCCCTCCGGAGCTCTAAAAACAATGATAGTCGGCAAGGTTTTGTTGCCCCTCCGAGGCTCTAAAAACAATAATTATCGGAAGGTTTTGTTGCCCCTCCGGAGTTCTAAAAACAATAATAGTCGGCAAGGTTTTGTTGCCCCTCCGGAGCTCTAAAAACAATATTTATCGGCAAGGTTTTGTTGCCCCTCCGGAGCTCTAAAAACAATAATTACCGGAAGGTTTTGTTGCCCCTACGGAGCTCTAAAAACAATGATAGTCGGCAAGGTTTTGTTGCCCCTCCGGAGCTCTAAAAACAACAATTACCGGAAGGTTTTGTTGCCCCTCCGGAGCTCTAAAAACAATAATAGTCGGCAAGGTTTTGTTGCCCCTCCTGAGCTCTAAAAACAATATTTATCGGCAAGGTTTTGTTGCCCCTCCGGAGCTCTAAAAACAATAATTACCGGAAGGTTTTGTTGCCCCTCCGGAGCTCTAAAAACAATGATAGTCGGCAAGGTTTTGTTGCCCCTCCGAGGCTCTAAAAACAATAATTATCGGAAGGTTTTGTTGCCCCTCCGGAGTTCTAAAAACAATAATAGTCGGCAAGGTTTTGTTGCCCCTCCGGAGCTCTAAAAACAATATTTATCGGCAAGGTTTTGTTGCCCCTCCGGAGCTCTAAAAACAATAATTACCGGAAGGGTTTGTTGCCCCTCCGGAGCTCTAAAAACAATAATAGTCGGCAAGGTTTTGTTGCCCCTCCTGAGCTCTAAAAACAATATTTATCGGCAAGGTTTTGTTGCCCCTCCGGAGCTCTAAAAACAATAATTACCGGAAGGTTTTGTTGCCCCTACGGAGCTCTAAAAACAGTGATAGTCGGCAAGGTTTTGTTGCCCCTCCGGAGCTCTAAAAACAACAATTACCGGAAAGTTTTGTTGCCCCTCCGGAGCTCTAAAAACAATAATAGTCGGCAAGGTTTTGTTGCCCCTCCGGAGCTCTAAAAACAATAATTATCAGCAAGGCTTTGTTGCCCCTACGGAGATCTAAAACAATGATAATCGGCAAGACTTTGTTGCCCCTACGGAGATCTAAAACAATAATTATTGGCGAGACTTAATTTCCACTATGGAACTCCTAAATTAATTGGCGGGACTTAATTGCTTACGGAGATATGAAAGAATGTCTTCATCCAAATGACTGAAACGTTTGGCACAAAAACCGTAATGACTCAGGCTTAGTTTTTCAATCCATCCTTTTTATTTGAACCAATCAATATCAGGAAGTTTTGTTTACCCATCGTTGGTTCAACATCTTAACTTCGCGTTGTGACCTTTTTTGGTGCGTTTTCACAGTTTTTAATCAGTGAAAAACTTGGATTTTTCTCGGGAGGAGGGTCTGGAATTAAATCAGAAAAGGATTAAGAGTCGAGATAATGGTACAAAGAATCGTCTTCTTTACCATACGTTTTAATTAAAACGTCATAGCTTCCGCCCATCGCGCGGGAGGGGTGTGAATTGAGTTCAGAAAAGGATAATACCGGTAGTCGAGATCGAGACGAATCGTCTTCTTTCCCTAATAATTTATTAAAAACGTCTAAGCTTCTGCGCTTCCCTTGGAATTCAGAAAAGGATAAAGAGTCAAGAACGGTACAACGAATCATCTTCTTTCTCTAATAATTCAATGAAACGTCAAAGGGGGAAACTCCCCCCCCCCCTCCAGCTCCCCCCCCCCCCAATTTTTTTTTTGAAAAGCATTTTAAAGAGAAATAGAAAGAGAGCAAGAAAGAAAAAATAGTTAACTACCAGTTTCTCAACAAAATAAGGTATCAAAAATTGCTCATCTGATCGTAATTTAACGCCTAAAACCCCTGAGCTTCCGTGGGCTCTGCCCCCGGGACCCAACCAAGGGCCCTTTGGCAGGCCTCTTGATACTCATCTGACGGTAATGTAATGCTTTAAACCCATGGGCTTCTGGGGGCTCCGCCCGCGGGACCTCACGCCAATCAGTATCCTGCCAGTGTCACAAATAAGGTATAAAAATATGTTCATCTGACCGTAATCAAATACCTGAAACCCCTGAAATTCAGGGGTTTCCGCACCCTAGACTCCACCAGGGGCCCTGAGGCGGGCCCCTGAATGCTTATCTGACCCTAATTTGCCTTCAACCCATGAGTTTCCGGGGGCGAACAAGGTATCAAAAGATGTTCATCTGACCGCAGGCACGTAGCCGGGGGGGGGGGCAGTGGGGGCGCCCCCCCAAAAAAAAAGCCAAAAAAAGAGAGGAGAGCAAAGGAAGAGGACGTATGAAGAAAAAGGAGCAGACAAAAAACATTTTTGAAATTCAGACAAGGATTAAGAGTCGAGAACGGTACAACGAATCGTCACAAACTAGGCATAATAATGGCGTGCGCCTGTAATCCAGCTAACAGTGGAAGTTACAAACTGATTCAGCCGAGAACGCAGGTTCGAAACTGAGTCACGTCTTTCGGATGGTGACGTTAAAAGTCGGTCCCCAGACGTAAATAATCATATCTGATTGATACACGTCTGTAAAAACCCAAATACACACACACACACGAATCGTCTTCTTTCTCTAATGATTTAATGAAACATAAAAGCTTCCGCGCTTTGCGCGGGAAGGGGAAAACTGTATTCATGCAGGCGAGGATTATTTTCGGGAACAGTACAACGAATCGTCTTGTTTCTCTAATAATTAAATTAAATGTCAAAGTTTCCGCGCTTCGATCGCGCAGGAGGTGGGGTAACTGAATTTAGACAAGGATTAAGAGTCGAGAACGATACAACGAATTGTCTTCTTTTTGTAATGATTTAATAAAACGTAAAAGCTTTCGCGCTTTGCGCGCGCGGATGGGGGGGGGGAACTGAATTCAGACGAGGATTAAGAGTCGAGAACGGGACAACGAATCGTCTTCTTTCTCTAATGATTTAATGAAACGTAAAAGCTTCCGAGCTTTACGGGGGAGGGGGGGGGGATGAATTTAGACGAGGATTAAGAGTAAAAAACAGGACAACGAATCGTCTTCTTTCTCTAATGATTTAATAATACGTAAAAGCTTCCGCGCTTTGCGCGGAGGGAGGGGAACTGTATTCAGACGAGCAGGCACGTACGCAGGGGGGGGGGGGTTTGGGGCGTTAAATCCCCCCCCCCCCTTCGGTTTTTTTTATGTTTGTATTTTGGAGCAAACCCCCCCCCTTTTTTTTTTTAAATGAAACACACACACAAAAAAAAATTATGCCAATGGCTGATATAAGAAAGGTTACCTCACCTCCCACCCCCCCCCCCACCCCAAAGGGAACAAAATGTCAAATTTTCAAATTTTGAGACCAAAAAAAAAAAAAAAAGTGTCCTCTTACCCCCCCCCCCCCGCTTATTCAGCGGCTGGCTGAGTCGTTGCTATTTTTTTTTTGGGACAAAAAAAAAAAGGGGCCCCCCCCCCTAAGGAAGAAATCCTGGATCCGCCCCGGGGTGCACATATCCCCCCCCCCCCACCTTGAAAACAATGACGTGAGGTAATTTTACGCGCACTTTCCACGTTGGCCTTAGTGCCCCTTAGGATAGATTTGTGCCCCTTTCAGTGGATTTGTGCCCTCTCAAAAAAGTGGCCTTGACCCAAATTTGATGTAATTCGAGGCCTGATATAATTCATTGATATTTACCTTAGATGTGTATTCCAATAATTTGATTTTCTCATGAGTATTCCTTATTATCAATGATCGAGAAGTTACGAGGTCCAATTAAAATCCATCTTGCAGCGAACACAATCATAGCGCACATCCATGCATGCAACGTACGTGTACTAATATTTCTCTCACTCTCTCTCTCTCTCTCCCTTTCGCTATACGTAACATACACACTCACTAACCATGTATCATACAAGTACAACACACACCTTCAAATCATGGCTTTCATTTCAATTCTCAATTGGAGTATAGACTGCTCACGTAGACTTTTTTTTTTACTGAAATATCTTTTTTAACACTTCTCATACATTACTGCACGACACTCGTATCTAGTGCTGTGAGAATAAGGTACTAGGGTCTATAAATAAGACTACGCTTTGGGCACGATCTGACCGGAGCTCAGATTATGTCGCAATACCCTTTATTTTTGGCGCGAACAATGACGTCACTGTTCACTGTTTTCCTTCTCATTTTGAGATGGATGTAGCTATAGGGCTCCAACCAACGCAAGATTGACAGAAACATCGTACTCTATCTACTTTCGAATGTTCAGTTTGTAAAAATCTGTATTTAAAAAGATACAATCTTTTTTCTTTATATTTTCTAGTTGTTAGAAGTGGCAATTGTGAACATCTGAAATGTTGATCTCTATCAAAAGTTCTTTACTCAAAACGGATCCCATATTTTTAGGGTCTACCTTCTGCCAATGAGAAGGTTTTTAGTGAGCAAACCTCTACGCCCTCTAGGATTTTCTTAGTCGGTGGTGCGAGTGCGTCAAGGTCGTCTGCAACCACAATTATTGGATTAAAAAACGTCAAAATCTGCAAGATTGTCAACAAATGGTGAAAGACTGTTACAGATCCGTGATTATAGGTATGTTGTGAAATGTATAATTGTATTTTCTTTTCATATTTTCTTCAATTTTTATTTTTACATCATTTTTTTCCCTTTGCTAATTTTTTGAAGTGGGCGACGAGCGCACAAATCGTAGGTGTAGAAGCCTTACGCCCGGGCATTGGCCTCCCTAGTTCTAATTATAAACGTTGAATATTAGTAGACTAGACTATACACTTTTTTTACAGGTTTCACGGCAAACCGCTGCACAATACAAGTACATACCGATGGCGGATCGTGGGCGGGCGCGCGTCTGTGTGAAGTTATCTAGAGTCTATTGTAATGTCTCAGATCCTCATTACGGTAGAGTAAAGTGAGGAGGATGGAGAAAGGTGATACGAAAGAAGATGTACTGCTCTATAAGGAGTCGAGCTAACTCGGACCAGGGGACAACTCGGCCCAGGTACAAAAATGGTAATTTTTTGTCATTTTAGGTTTAGGGTTAGGTTTAGGTGAGGGTTAGCGTTAGGGTTAGAGTTAGGGTTGGAGTTAGGGTAAAATGACAAAAAATGACCGTTTGCAGCTGGGCCGAGTTGTCCCCTGGTCCGAGTTAGCCCGGATCCCTCTATAAGTATAGTCGTAGTAGACTAGTCTATATGCATGTCAGCAAAGCAAACAAAAGGAAAAAGATGGAGAGAGATAAAGTAAACGAGAGATAGAGTAGATGATGCAATGATAAATCGAACAAAATATAGAACAAGAACATGAAAGGAGAAAATGGAGAGGAGAAAAAATTGATAGATCTATAAGAAAATATTTTTAAAAGAGAAGATGATAGAAGATAAAAATGAAGATGTGGAAGATTACAGGATAATATATATACATAAGGAAAGATGGCAAAAAGATTTGGTGTTTTTGATACTACACCTGTATATGAATGATATATCTCCATTTAAAGCTATCTGTACTAGTTTATAGGAGAGAGTAGACCAAACTGCAAGGTCACTGGACAGGTGGTTATCTCATCAACTCAGCTCTCAATTAACATAAGAAAAAGAGGATCATGGGGGACCAATAGTCACCGATTAGGCATTGCTTTACAGACATATTCTGTCAAATTGCTTATCTCACTTTTTCATGAAAGAGCAGGCATAGTTTCCTAATATCATTATAATATACTTGTACATGTTTTTTCTTTGATATGTGTCTATTCTGTTTTGAGAAAAGGGTTATTTCAGGTTATTATTGTTGTTCGTCTACAGGTGCAGAGGCCCAGCCATACCAGCGAAGCGGACATTGTTGCGCCACCGATGGAGTTAATTTGTATGTATTTGGAGGGTACCATCCAGAATATGTCTTTGTCGATGATAGGAATCTGGAAGGAATAGCAGAGCATAAGGTATTCAGAGATGTAAGTATGAATCATGTAAAGTCTTATTCCTCTCCAAAAGCATAGTATTGTCCACAACAATGATGATAGCTTATCTTTTGAAAGCTTGCATATTGTCATATAGTATAAATTTGTATCCATACATCTACCATGCTACCATAATCATAACTTTATTATTGTTTATTATTTCTTTATTGCAACCAAAATTTGGGGTTGGATTTCAAATAGATACAAAATACAAACATACAGATAACAATTTTAGAAATTACAGGGACAGTTGAGTTATTGTTAAAGACTGCAAATGCCTTCACAGTGCATGATTCTTGCTCTTATTCTTATGTATGATATTTTTAGTGCCCTTTTAGGACCTAAAATTCCTAAGAAGGTAATTTTAGACCCCAAAATGTGTGAAATTTAATTTAACAACAACATTTAAGACTATGAAATTAGAGGAATTTGTTCCTTACTTCCTTCTGTGAAAGGAAAAACTAATGAAAAAGGGGAAAATGAACACAAACACCCACAAACATGATAATCTGCCATTTAGAGCACCTTCATTAATAATAAAATATTTCTTTACACAATCATCGTTTTGTTCTCCAAATTCTTTAAGAAAATTTTATTTTCAATCCTTTATTTTTGTTGTATTCCTATATTTTCTCAATGCTACTTATCATTATTTTAATTTTTAGTTGTGGTGTTACAACTTTGCTACAAAGACATGGTATGAGGTAAAAACATCAGGAGTTACCCCTTCAGAGACAGCATCAATGTCAAGTAATAAATACAAATCTTGTTTCTAGCATGGTTGAAATATGTTTTTGTATGTGTCACTTTAAAGGGAAAGTCCACCCCCAAAATAAGTTTGTTTCGATAGAGGCAGAATAATAAGAAAATCAGGTGAGTGAAAGTTTGAGCAAATTCTGAATGAAAATAAGAAAGTTATGAATTATTGAAGTTGTGATCAATCAAATACAAATTGGCAACTCTGTGACTTATTATACGAGCTCTCCTTCATTTGCTTTGTGCATAATATTCCATAAAATCATGTTTTCTTCGTTATTGATGACGGAATATATATTTGTTCCTTGCAGGGGGAGTATAGAAACATATTTGCAATTATTATATTTAGGGTGCATGTATGGTTGAAATTTTTCTTGAGGGAAAATGAAAATTTTAGATTTTTTTAGTACTGAGCAAATGGAAGTTGAGCTCGCATGATACGTCATAGAGTTGCCAATTTGTGTTTGATTGATCACAACTTCAAAAATCCTAACTTCCTTATTTTTAATCAGAATTTGCTCAAACTTTCACTGACTTGTTTCTCTCATTTTTCTACTCCTATTAAAACTAACTTAATTTCAGGGTGGACTTCCCCTTTAATATTTTTTGGTCGATAGTAAATCATTGTCTAAAGATATAAATCTTTAAAATGCAATGAAGTTTTGATACTTGTATCTTTACCATAAGAATCGCTTTAAATAAAAATGAATCATGACTATCAAAAGAAACTAGTTTTACTTATGATATGTGGTGTAATAAGCCTAGATTATATTTTTAGTCTCCATAGATAATAGCAGTATCATGGTAATCAATGAATAAATGTAGGTTGTATAATACTGAAGGCAAGGCTGTGAACAGTCAAGCTAAATCCTCTCTGGTTTGAAATATTAATTGCTTTGTGAAGTAAGGGCTGCCATCATACAGAAGATTTACTATTTACAGAGTCAAAAATAGCTTTGAAGCCTCACAAGCATTGCATCCTGTTGTCTCAAACCTGATTAACATCTTTCATAGATACCTTTAAATAAAAAAAATTATAATTATAATTTAATATATATTTCCTAGCCAGTCATTTATGTTATTTCACACCCAAATAATTAAAATAACTGGTGGTTGTTTGCATGAATTTGGCATTACTTTTCAACAGGTTAGTGTAGAAAAGAACATTTTGAGACCAATTAGGCCTGTTTTCATCAGCTCGAGTTTGCCAAATATCCCGCTATTTTCAGACTCTGGATATTATCCCAAAGCTCAAAATTGCGACTTCACCAGACCGATACGCTCATCACAAACTTATTGGGATATTTTCTCAACCAAATATCCTGCTACTTGCAACTGCTGGCTGATGAAGATGCAAATTAACTGGTTAATTTGTGATCAGATAGTTAAAATAGTGGGTCATTTGCCAAACTCAAGCTCATGAAGACAGATTATATTCATGTTGTGTGATCATTCCTTACTCCTTGTAGTGATACTGAGTGGAAACACTTTAATCTGTTTTGGTGGAACTCTCTACCCATGGGGGTCAAAGAGCAACAATAAGATAAACACCCTCAACCTCACAGAACGCAAATGGAAAATACTGGACTGCAACGATACTATCCCGGCAAAATACGGACAGGTATGTTCTATGCCTTGGCATTTCTTACATTTTCATGTCTTCATAACCAGTCGTAATTAATTTTTGTTTTTAATGATTTGAGCAGCCTATTTAACGAGGTAAATATACATTTTTAAAGATTTTAACTCATGATGATATCTGTAAAGTTACTTGTGTCTAGGTATGAATTTAAAGATTAGATTTTCATTACAATATAGGCTTTATAATAGCATATAAAAACTCTTCAGTCTTAACCTTTCACTTAGGGGTAACAAAAAAAGATGTTATATTGCCCTTTAGGGTGCCAAAACATGGGTCGGTCAGTCGGAAATCTTTTTTCTTTTTTTCTTTTTTTACAATCTCTTTTTGAGCTGATATTTCTCAGTTTTTGATGCATTATTTTTTTTCTCCCCTCTTTGGGCTAATATTTCTCAGTTTTGAATGCTTTCATACATATTTTTTTATACATTATTTCCTCATATACAGTAGGCTTGCAGATGCACCATGTGAGAGAGAGGGAGGATTGAGGAGTCCTGAAAAGGACTCTCTATAATCTTTCTTGAGGGTGTGTAGTCCTGAAAAAGACTGTTGGTTATCTTTCTTAGCTTATAGTTCTAAGGAGAACTATAGCGCTTGGAGATGATGGGTGGCGGGAGTGGCTTTTTGGCTTTTTTTTCCTAAAAAACAGTAAGAAAAAAAAAACTTTTAAAAAATTGTGACCATAGATTTCAAGATTTTGGGGTCGGTCTGAAAGGGCAATACAACATCTTTTTTTTTAATGCCTTATAATAATTGCTGTAATCTTTCTTGAACGTAGGCCATGACCCTACATGACGGAGCCCTCTATGTGTACGGTGGATGCAGACGGATCACCGAGGTGGATCATCTGTTTGATTCAGAGCTTCATCGTCTAGACATGAGGACTCATGAATGGTCTCTCATCCTGGATAAAGACCGGCAGGAGACGGCTACCATGGCCCATATGAGAGGCATGTACAGACATGGATTGGCTTACTGTCAGGACAAACTATATGTGATCGGGAGCAGCTGGGAAGAGCTTACCAGCATACCTTTATATCAGAAGGTGACATTCTACACATCTTGTCCCGGTTACATTCAATCCAACACAATGTATTTCTTGAATAAATGTTAAAGAGAGCTTGCCACAATATCCTGTGTTTTTTTTTTACTAGAAATAGTGTGAGTCTATGAGACAATAGTTTGTGTCATTTTACTTTAATTGTATAGTCACTATTTTAAAAGTTAAATGGAATTCTCACTGTAGAATTTCTGATGTGTAGAAGATTCCAAGTATAATTCCCTATATTATGAATGCTTAGTATAAATATAAGTTGGATTTAAAAAAAATATATATTAAAAAAAAACTTGAAGCATGGATGATAAGGGATGAGAAGAGGATCCGAGTGTCATTGACTGTACTTACTTTCATTTTTGTTTTTATTCAAGGTACATGTATTTGATATAGCAGAAGGTAAATGGTCATGGCAGACAACAATACCTACAGAAGACGACCGTTATCCGCGGAGAAGAGCATATCATGGCTGTGCACAATGGAAGTCAGGTCTGATGTTATTCATCTTTATATTTCACTCATACCTTTTTCCTAGTCCTATCAGGGGGGAGTTTCATAAAGCTGTGCGTTAAGTTACAAATTAGGTTACAAATTATTTGAATATGAAGAGCCAAACGGGATACCCAAAGTTTTTCTTGACCTTTTAAACAAAGTGTGACTGTATTTTCCATAATCTCAATTAAATTGTAGCCAAAAATACGCTTTGCATAAAAATGTTTTGTTAATAATGATAAGGTTAATCTACATCTGCATACCTGTATTTCAACTTTAGCTTATGCAATAAAAGGATTAGAGAATCCTATTTAGCTCTTCATATTCAAGTCATTCCTAAATTCATGCGTATTGGACTTTCGGGGACCAGTGACGAACGAGTCACAAAATCCAAACATCAAATGTGTGATATGATGAAGACTTTCCCATCTTTGGTCAAGCTGTTTATTTTATTATATGAATTCTAAGCGTGAGATATCTTTGGGCTGGATTCTTTGTAAAATGCCAGGGCCCCGTCTTACAAAGAGTCAATCGCAACTATGTACATAAGAGATAGGAGACTGCAAACTTGCGATTGATGCGAGTACTTGCGATTAATTTGGATCAATCGTAAGTCTTTGTAAGACGGGGCCCAGCTATATCAAAATCAAAACATATGCAACAGGTTAAGGTAGAATTAATAGTAAAATAAAGTGGCTTATAAATGCCCCAAATGTCCACAACTGGGATCAGGCAAGTGTGCTGCAGTGTCGAAATTACTACTTCTTGCTCATGCCTGTCCCACAAAAGAGTTTGGCGATTTGACTGAAATATTACATTCTAAGTCTCCTTATCTCAATATCACATCACCTTCACAGAAGTTTACATGTGTGGTGGTCACGACGCCCGATACAACGTCATGGATGATATATGGTGTCTGCATCTTCCTGAGCTGAGATGGGAGCAGTTATCCACCACTCTACCGGTACCAACCTTCTTTCACTCGGCAGCAATAACTGATGTGAGTCCATAACAACCATACCCTCTATATATTCAAAGCCAATTAATATGCCTGGGGGTGTTTCACAAAGACTAAGATCAACTTTAAGTTGGACTTAACTATGGCAGGCCATTCATGCCACTAGTTGCTGTCACCATTGGTCGCTCAATTTTGATCTTTAGATAATATTTTTTCCTTCAATAATGAACTGTCTAAATAGCTCAATTCTATTGATGTGTGACCATGATTTGTACATCCATTGAGAGAGACCAATGCCAGTAAATCTTGAGAGCAAACAGTGGCATGAACGGCCTGCCATAGTTAAGTCCAACTTAAAGTTGATTTTAGTCTTTGTGAAACACTCCCCTGTACATGTATTACAATTCAAATATAAATGATGAGCAAATGAAATGGCACTCTTGTATTTGTCTTTTTCTTGACAGATCCCTCCTCTTCCTCTCTTCTCTCAGCCGTCTTCCCCAGCTTGTCCATTATCATTTTTCCTTTTCTCTCATTACATTATAATTCGATTTTTGTTGTTGTTGTTGTTGATCTGCAATATGTTGAACAATACTTCTTCATTCATAATCTCAATTTTCTTTTCTCCCCTTCCAGGCTAAATGTATGTATCTCTTTGGAGGTGTTAAAGGATTTGCTGGCGGAGTCCACAATAATGACCGTGAGCGTACCAGGATCATCCAAAAGATTTGGCTTGCCATCCCTTCTCTTTCTGAACTCTGCTGGCAACATGTTCTGGATCTTTGTCCAGACATGGCTAAGCTTTCCAAAGAGGACCTGTTTGGTCTGGGGATACCAAGGATTTTCACAGAAAGATTAAAACCAGTTAGATGAAAATTAATAGACCATAGTTTTCCTTCTGGAGACTATGAAAGATATATGGTACTAAATCCAGCTGACGTAGATAATACATATATGTTGATTACAGAATGTTTATTGTCCTTTAATTATGTTGTATCCTGCTATGCGAGATGTGCATGACACCATGCTATTGTTTACAAATATTAAAGAATAAACTTATTGACAAACCATGCTCAAGCAATGAATGATGGCGGACTAATGAATATTAGAAGTCAGAATGAATCAGGAGAGCTTAGGTATTTGTTTCTAGTTCATCATGACTGTGCCATGGACCAGTTATGGCCTGGTGGTAGAGTCGTTCCCCGGCAAGCAGTAAATCAGGTTCAAACCTTTCTGGTTCAAAGATTTTTCTGACTGTTTTCAATTATAGATCAATCAATTGATCTTTATTTACTGAGTGTAAGCCACAAATATGTTTAAACAATCTTTAGTTTGATAGCTTGATCACTGACTACCACATTTATTGGTGGACTTGCTTGCAGTGTTGTCTGATTGTTTGGCTTCTATTATAGACACAAAGTTGTGATCACACCAAAGATGTTTAAACAATCTAGTTCACTGCAGTTCAGTTCAGTTCAGTTGATTTAGTTATGGAGCTTACAATCTACCAGCAGTCGTTTTACAGAAAAGCCAAATGCCCTGGCGGTCAGTGCGAATGAACGCTTAGAATGTTTTGTTCAATAATTTGTATGCTCCTTACCTTAAACAATCATCGTCACCTAGACAGTTGAGCACTTACTTGCACAAGGAATTTCTAGATGTTTGGAAGGTGAGCCATCAAACTGATGAAACATTGCCAAAGATTGAGGAAAATTTGTCAGTTTTAGAGCGATCACGCTTTTTGGGAGACCCAAATACAAGATTTTTACAATGTGTTTATTTATTTTCTTTTTGCGATGATACTATCATACAATCTAGTGAGTTGCCAATTAAAATTCAAGACCTTTCAGTCAGTGTGACAAATTTCTTTATTTTTTATATTTTATTTTTTAAATTATTGTTATAGAAAGATTACACTTCTTTTCTCACAAGCATCACCCCCACATTGGAGCTTTTATTTGAATTTGAAATCTTTGTTTATTTTGTACACATGTGATTGTGAAGCTGCAAAATTGATTGTGATTGTATTTAATGAAAACGTTTCTAAAAATGAATAAGGATGTGAGGTAGATATCACGCTTTTCTCTGTCAGTTTGATATCTATTACTTCAGAACAGGATGACCTTAGTGGTAATTAATGATCGGAACTCTTTTAATTGAAGTTTAATGGATTATTATATTATTATACAATATGAATGTATTACTTTATGTCCAGTGTGTGATATCCAATGTTTATTGATAAAAATGATCATTTATATATCTATTTTTTAATTATATTAATTACTTTGAAGTAGACCTATTATTGGTACATGTACTCTGGACAATACTTAATCAGTACACAAGTCTTGTGGATGACAATATGAATTGGGTAATGAACATGATAAGCCTTTTGTATGATTAATATTCTGTGTTTTATCTCTGACAAATAGGTCAAATGCTGCAGTAGTAATTTAACAAGTGAGTAATGGACAAAACTGTTAAGTGCATGATACAAGATATGAAATCATATGTACATTGTGTTTGTTTGTGTATGCAAGTGAACTCTAAAGTGCTACTTGCAAGCATAACTTTAAGCCTACCGTAATTGGTTTTAGACAAACATATATTTGATTCAGTAAAACCTTTTTTCCAAACTGCAGTGTCCCTAATTTGTTGAATTGTCAGCATTAGTAAATAGCTAATGACTGAAAATGCAAAGACCAGTAACTTTTGTCACAGAGTATGTAACATAAATTTCAGTGAAACATTTTCCTAATATCAAATCTTGTTCAATGTCAAATTATGTTATATCATTTTGATAACTTCTTGAAATGTTTTATGTTTATTGTTTTGTTAATTATGATTGATTTTACTCTACTTGAAGACTAGAAATTACAGAACATTGTTTAGCAATTTGGGTGATCTTGCAATTCATGAACTAGAAAATAAAAAATACTTTTCAAAGGCTTTAAGTTTATTGAAACATGGTGCTGCTTTTATGAAAAATAGTAATAAGTTGCCTATATTATGTGTATAAACTATCTTACAACTCAATGTGTTTCTAGTACTGTATATTTAGGTACAATATGAACTATTATGGTGTTTTGTAAAAGGTTATGTCTAATTTGCAAACAAAATAAACCATTTGTTTAAAACTACCTGATAATTTATACCTATGTATCCCTTCCATTCTGATTTGTTGACACAATTAGAACCACAATATATGTTCTTATGTGATCAGTTTTCAGAGGATAATAATAATAAAAATAATAGTAGCTAGTTCTTATATAGCGCTTTTCATGACCGAATTTCCTCTCAAAGCGCTTTACAGATATATATATTATTACCCCGGTAATAGGATTCAGGCTTACCCGCAAACAATGTATGCACATTCTCCACTCCCTGGGGAGCATTCCAGCCAGGCGTCTTTTTTACAAGCGCACACTTGCTAATCTAACCACATTAGCTTTTGCATCTTACCGGGTATCCATTTAACACCTGGATGGAGAGTGGCAAATGTAGATCAATGTCTTGCCAAAGGACAAGCACCGCGGTGGGACTTGGACTTGAGGATGCTATGTGGGATGGTGATTCATTCATTGACTTTCATTCAAGAAGTTCAAGAATTTGAAGCTTTACTAAGTTTACTGTGACCACCATAATAATGATGGACTAACCAAAGTCTTGAGCTCTACTACATTATGGATAAGAATATTATCAAAGGATTATATATAAGAATTTACCAATTCAGATTAATCATATAATTTTTTGTGGTTAAGTTACAAACTATTCTGTCCCCTGATTGCTAGTCTCCAAAGCAAAACTTTTATGATAGCAATTGAGACAACGGTACTGTGGATAGTTGATTGCATGGTATTTGTGACATGTCTACTTGGAATCGTTAGATGTGTCCAACTACAAATTAAAAACAATAATTTTTGTGTTTAAACGACGGAGATCTGAAACAAGGACTTTATTTATTTATTTATATAAATATATAGCTGTATGCATGGAGCAATTTTTGTTTAAATGTTTATATTTGAATCATTCTTTTCAAATAAAAGAGTATGCCAAGATAATAAATGAATGCTGAATCTCATGTAGAAATTATTGATAAATACCGATCAAGACAGTTAATATTTGTGCTGTTTAAGGGCAATCCAACGCTAATAATAACTTCCTTTTTAATAAAAAAAAATCAGAGAAACAGAATGGTGCAAGTTTGGAATAAATTGGACCAATAGAATGTTTGAAATATGAGATCACTACAGCTATGCGAATCTCAAATTGGCACTTTTGTCAGTGGATTGTGTGTCAAAACAAATGGGAAAGTTGTCTGCCACTACATCACAAAGACATTATCGATTCAGGCAATTTGAAGAGCCCATACCCATAGTGATTGCAATTTTAAAAATTCATAACTTTCTAATTTGTTGTCCGATTGCATTCCAACTTCACTAGTTTGCTTCTCTGATTTTTCTGCTTCTTCTAGAGAAGTTAACTATCAAGGTTGGATTTCCCTTTAAAGCTTATCTGCCGTAGTTTATAGGAGGGATTAGACCGCTCTGCAAGGTCATTGGACAGGTGGTTATCTCATCAACTCAGCTCTCAGTTAACATAAGAAAAAGAGGATCATGGGGGACCATTGGTCACCGATTAGGCATTGTTTGTTATAAAGAGGGCGCAAGTAGCTACCAGTAGTGCAGTGGGCCTTTAATACGTGAATGCATACATTTACTGATCCACCCATACACATCACACAGGGTCATCCCAGTAGACCCCAGTCCACTTGACAAACATTGGCAACAGTTCACCAGATCAAAGACTGAGCCCGCAAGACTAACGACCCATGAGACTGACATTACAAAGAACTAGTAAAGCAAGATAAAAGAAAATGTTGGTTTTATGGGCTGCCTGTCTAGTGAACCCTCGACTCCAAATGGACCAATAAAATGTATCTGAATCTAAACACAGTTGTGAGGAGCCCCTCGAGACCAATATTGTCGGTCTCGTTGGCTGTTCTTCTACAAGTATATATATTCTTGTTTATACAAATGTATATACTTGTACACAAACAAATTTGAAGAATAGCTACACTAATAATTCAACGGATGGATATTGCTTGAATACATTATGCTTTACTCTCTCCCTTTCTCTGTCTGTCTGTTTCTTCATTTATCTTCTTTGTGATATACTTTTGCGCTCTATTCATCTCCCCTTCCTCATTTACTTGTCTTCAGATGGAACTACTTTGTTCTGTTTTGAGTCTTTATTTATTATACATTATCACTTCCATGATTTTTACCATTCTCCACTCATAAATCATGTCCACAGTCTCTCCGTATAAACTTCCGTATAGTATTCTTCAAAGTGTGCGTTTCTCTTCATTGCAATTAGAATCGACTTTGTGGGATGATTATCATTTCATGTAAGATCCTCTCCTGCTAGCTCTCTTTTCCCACCCTCCCCTGAATCGCAAGTGGCAGTATTCTGTACTTTTTCTCTTTATTTAAAAAAAAACTAATTTACTGCAAACATGGATTATCTCTTAATTATTTGATTGATCGTAAATACAAGGGAAAAATGATTAAAGATGGCCCGATCAATTTGGCTTTAAAAAAAATCACAACACAATTTTACGGAAAATCAAGTCAGAGCAAATGCATTAGTGTATTTTCTATTTAAAAGTCGAGGTTAATAATACAATGATAATTATTAGCATGTGAGTAAGAAAATAGACAGTGCGAGCATGGGGTACGACGATATAAATTCGGGACTAAAATGTTATCATGAAAAACAAAGCCAAACGCTCACAAAATTTCTCTTTGCGTGTACCAAACGGATTAAAGATAAGACAAACGATAATAATTTTATTTATAGAGTGTTTTATTAAATTATTTGTTCAATGGTGCAGTCTCCGCTAAGCTTGCAGTATCATTATTCTTGCGATGTATCACTTGACAATTGCCGAAGCAACAACAACAAATTCTTACATTAAATATTCGGAAAATAATTTGTTCAGTCGTATAGAAGACGGAATTGAATTGAGGAATATTACAAGAAAGGAAAAGAACGACAGAGACAATAATACAAAAATGATCACTGGAAAAATATAGTTCGGTCTAGATGATGATTGATATATGGGGATGATGATAATTTTGTTGTTGTTGTTCGTGGTAGTGGTAATGATGATGTTGATCACGATGACGACAATGATGAGGACGACGATAGTGGTAGATTTATGCAAAAATCAATCGGGGAAAAAAGTCCTCTAAGTTGCATGTGTAACTGACCCCCCTCCCACAAGGTACAAAGAACTTCGATAGAAATTTTAAGACTTTTTAGTAGGAAATTTGGTATGATATTCATTATCCGGTTCAGGGGCCACGGATCGTCTTCAAAGTGGGTGGGGGCGGGGCACAAACAAAAAGGGCACTTTCTGGTGAAAAGAGGGCACATTCAAAGGGTAACATCAAAGCGAAAAAATACAATTTTTATGCATTGTTATATACCCCTACATTGCAATTAATATAGTATGAGAGGTGATCTTCAAGACTTTCTTTTACGTGGTCCGAGATACTGATTCGGCATCATATTTGCAGTTGTTTGATGGTTTGATATTCATTCAAGAACGAGCGAGCGTATTGCGTCCGATTAGATCCTATGAAGAGGGAACAATCATTAATTATCAAGCATAATCTCATAATGATCTAAAGGCAATTATTAGAAAGGAAAATAATTAGAAAGGAAAAGGGATACTTAGTAGCTAGGGGAGCTAATGATACTTATAAATGAAGGTTACGTATCACATTCAAAGGGGGCACTTATTCGAGAGTGAAAGGGGTATTTATAAGGGAAAGGTTTATTAAATCAAAAGGAAAGGGGCACTATATCAGAAAGTAAAATTATTGGAAAGTTAAAGGAGCATTACATGGACATTTATTACAAAGGAAATTGGGCATTTATGAGAACGTGATGGGACTATTATCAGAAAGGAAACGGGAACTTATCGGAAAGGAAAAGGGGCACGTGTCAAAGTAATAGGGGCACATATCAGTGGTGAAAGGGGCACTTGACACGCCTGAAAGGGGCACTCATCATCAGGCCCCTAGCCACGGGGCCTGATGATGATCCATGATCGGTTGAACTTTTTTAGGCCCCTCCCCAGGACGTCGATCAATTGCATGTAATAACTATGTGCCCCCCCCCCCCCAAAAAAAAAAAAACACACACACACACACCAAACTCTGGCTATACGGCCCTGCTCATCATATGGATGAAAAGGGGAAAGAGGCACTTAACAGATTTGAATAGGGGCACTTATCAACGGTTTTTGGGGGTATACTTGAAAAACTGTGGGGGCACTGTGCCCACCTTACCCCCCCCCTTTCGTAGGAACGTCGTTTCTGATCCGCTTACAAAACATATAGTCCTAGCATGCTCATTAATTTAATGGGCGAAAGTCCATCCAACACTTTATTTTTCTCTTTCGTTTATTCCATGACATTTGCTCCGGCGACAATTGCTCCGCGGTAAATTTCATACACTAATCGAATGGCTAACTTCAACCCTGGATTCAACACTATACCCTACCCTAAACCTAACCCTAAACCTAACATAAAACCCTATTGAAACCCTAACCCTAACCCTACATCTTAGACGAAATAAAGCCCGGAGCAATTGTCGCAGGAGCAAATGTCGTGTCACCCTTTATTCAAGATCGTAACAAGTCGGACCGTCGTAAACACTTTTATCACAAAACTACCAAAACTACAGCCTGTTGGAAATTTTCGGCTCAGAGTCGACACAATTTGTAAGAAAATTCCCAGGTTTCTAAGGATTCAGCGACGCCAAGTTCCTTCTTGCTACGTGACTGCATCAACGTTTTAGATTTAGTAATGATGAATATAATATGCGTCAAAACCTTCATCAGTGAAAGTCATGAATAAGAGTTTACCTGTTATTGTAATGTTGTGTATATTGTCCCAAAACCCAGTCAATTATTATAGAGTACCCTCATATTTATTCTCTGACAAGATGTCCAATTAAGATGCACTTAAAAGCCAAGATTAAGTTTATATCTTTATAATCCTTCCCAATTAGTGCATTCATAACCCCCTTCCCAGGAAATACCACCTCTGTTATGTTTAAGCCCATACATATAAG